ATCTTGTTACACTTCACTATAAATTACGCTTACATAACTTAAATACTTCTAAAGTATTTGACACGTGAAAATTAGATTAGATTTTGATTAAATTCGTTTTATTCAAAAAACCTTAAGATCTAGGTATTATAAACCTTATTAAAACAGACACTTATTTTGTTCAGCGAATCCAAAAATGCAATAATATACAGGACATTCCATTTAAGAAAACGCAACTTTGATATCTTTAAAGCCTTTGGGACACCCTGTACATTACAAAAATATTTTTAAAATGTGCGCTCGGTAGGCGTCGGACAATTCATAAAATAATACTTTTTAAAAATCAAACGGTTCAGCCGCAAACTTCCGTGCCGTATAGCGTGAATAACCCTCTATATATATAAATAATCTTTATTTCCTATAGAAAAAGGCTATGGACCCAATAGGTCTTTCTGCCCACTGGTTTATATTTATACACTAAGAACATAAAGACCCAAAACCATTGATATAATTAATACAAATTAATTTTTCCCTGCTCGGAGAGTTTCAGATTCACATTGGAAAATGTAATTTTATATGATTCAGCAGCTGTTTATTATTTTAATGTTTTCAATGTATCCATGCCATTTGGAAAGTTATATCAATATTAGTTTTATACCCTTACAACTGAAAAGTATTTCATCTATTTACAAATAATATGAGTTATTGCCTGAATTCAGAATTTCTATACCGTAGTAAACAAAAGTGATTTGTCTTTGCATCTGTGAAAACGTTCGAGGTGAAGTTTACAAATAAAACAAAAACTTTATCCAATTTCCGATTGACGAAATACGTATTTCCAATCATGCTGCCATTTTTTCTTTTTCCAGGGAATTATAGCTGTCTGAGGGTACATTTGATATTCACGAGGGATCGAGCGTTTTATTTCACCACGGTGTTCATACCAGGAATAATATTGGTGACGTCGTCCTTTATTACATTTTGGCTGGAGTGGAACGCTGTGCCAGCCCGAGTCATGATAGGTAATTTAATTTTATTTATGTCTATTATGAATGAAAACGTTACGGCAATGCAAATAAGTCATTATGCAAATAATAATATTAATAATAATACTAAAAAGCTTTTTAATAAGTATGACTTTCCCCATAAATCGATGTTGCATTCTAATTTTACCTGCTTTTAAATCGTGGCCTTCTGCGGTATTTGTATTCTGTGTTGATATTCGAAACATTGTTATAATTTCCGCAAAGGCTCCAACTAAAAATATATAGTTTTGGGGGTTAAAAATGCTTGAAAAGACTATTCATCTATTTCTAGTCAAATTCATAAGCTGCTCTATATTTATTTTCATATTCTTTTCGGTTTAAATTTATATTTTTAGATTGTAGTTCGGTGGCTGGATATTTTTGTGCAGTGTCGCATTATATGCAATTTTCATTGCTACCGTGCAATCCTCATTAATTAAGGACATAATTTCTGTAAATGCTCACTTACCTTTTCGGACGTGAACTATTTATTCGAAGCAGACTTTAATCCAATCTTTGAATTATGTCTGCCAAGATTCCTTTTAGCTTTCCATCTTTTCTAACTCTTTCCTTCCTTCGTCTTAGGTAGTTCGTATAATCTTTATTTATGAGTGGGTGTAAAAGAAAGTGATCGTCATTGCGAAATATGTGGCCCAGATAAGCCGCTTTACCTACTTTAATTACCGTTTTAATGCTGCCAAATGCTTAATGAGTTGCACAGTCCCGTCTAAGTCCAAATGTCCAAGTTTTTACTTCATACTCTATTTCTCGTTCAATTTCCTATTAGTAAATACTGGCACTGTCTGTAGTTTATATATCATTTCCAGCCTATTTCTATTTTAACTCTTGTCTCATCTTCACCTAATTGGGAGTTTATGGCTGCTCTAAGATTGACTTGTTTACTCTGTCTAACTTTGCATAATACTTTGCAGTTGATGTTGCCAATAGGATTCTTCGAGATTATAATTATTTATGTTGATTATTAAGCCCATTTTATTTCATGTTTTATGAATACTCGGTTTTAAATATGTTCTATGTTCTCTGCCATTATTGCGATATCGTCTACAAAGCTCACATTATTGTTAATGATTTCTCCGAAATTCATACACTCCGTTCTTTCCCATCGTGCTTCCTAAATATTAATTTCGAGTATCCATTCAATAATTGTAGGCACACCACACAACCTGTTTACGATGCACAATAGATGTTTAAATTGAAGAAAAATCTTAGGAATATTCGATTATTTTTCTTCGTGAAAGAAGCTTAACGTGTTGAATTCAATCGAGCGCTTTGTGGAAATCCATCTACCATATGAACATGCTTTTATTGAATTATTTGCACTTTTCTAGTTCCCAATCAGCTTCTGTTTACGACTTGTATATTGTATACATACTCATCACAGTTTTTAGATAATCTTCGGTAGGGTTTTTAATGTTCATTAAATAGTTATAGTTAGAGTTTATTTACAGAACCTGTATTTGATTCTAAAAATTCACATCAACCAAGGTAACTATTTTTGAATAAATGAGTATCCTTTCTTCTTCGACAAGACAATCGAACAAGCTCCGCGATTTTACGGTTTTAATGTTGATTCCTTATCTCAATCTCCTTGCCATAATTACTGGCTGAGCCACTTTTTTATTAAAATTTTACAAAAATTATTGTGTTTTTTGATCACCTAAAAACAGTAGATAATATACAGTTAGTTTTGTGTTGAAAATCTTACTTTTGCTATTTGCGTCGACTGCATTCGAAAATTACCACCTTATTGTACATCCCAAAATGTCTGTTAAACATTCACAACTTCCAATGTTTAAAAAGTTGAATCTAGCTCCTGCTGTTTTCAGGTGTTACTACAATGCTCAATTTTTTCACAACTTCAAATGGATTTCGTTCGACACTTCCCGTTGTCTCCAACCTGACTGCCATGAATGTATGGGACGGGGTGTGTATGTGCTTCATATATGCTTCGCTTCTGGAATTTGTATGTGTAAACTACGTGGGTCGAAAGAGACCTTTACACAACGTCGTTTATCGTCCAGGAGAAAACCCATTCACTCAGGTAAGACATGGTTTACCTTTCCTCATTTGAAATGTGTGATTTTTATATAAAAAAAATTCCTAGCAAATGGTTAAAGAACTGAAACCCCAATATGTTTACCTTAACGGCTTTTTTTGATCATTGATTTTTAAAATGTTAAGAGAGTCCAGGGTGGTCTGCTTTTGCTTAGCTTTAGGACTTCAACAGCCCATAGACATATTTATTTTTAAATAAATTTTTTAGTCTAGTCTTTAAAAGAATTACCTCTTTTTGCAATACCCCCATTATTAAACATATTTTCATAAAACTTATATGACAGCGAAAAAAAAAGGTCTTGGAATGTTACTACCATAATTCTCTAGAAAATCTACTAATATGTATTTCTACTGTAGCACCGCACGAATAATCTGAGGTTCATATAAATATAGGTAACTATTTTTTGTAAGTTCAATCAGCTACTCAGATAATTGCATCATAAAATTGTTTGTTCAAATAAAATTGTCAAAAGTTCTTCGAACAGAGTTCGTGATATAACAGTACATGGAAAGCATTCTTCTTAAAAGAATCACTTGATGCAATGAGTAAATGAGATTATCTTGTTTTAGTACGAAGTTTCTGAAAATATTTGTCTGCTTTCTCAATGTTATGACTTTTTTAAAACTATAAAAAACTAAAACTCCGCGAAAGTATCAAATCTTTTTCATCCCTCTCCTCCGTGACTTTTGCAAAAACGACGTTTTTCACACAATTTTCAGGCACTTACTCGATTACAACGGTTCGGCTAAAGCAGGTTGAATTCACTTTTCGTTAACCCATTATTTTAGTTTATCCCCACTTCTTCCTCATTTGTTCAAAAATTAATATTGTCAGTGGAGCTTTCGATTACAAGGGATGGTTTAAACTACAGAATTGAGATACTTATAAAACAACCAAACAACGATATGGCTTCCAAAGATGTATTTATACGTTGCTGTTAATTTATTATTGACTTTTTTGGATTGGTTGGGGCATAATTATTGTTGTGTAGTCTCCATAATTTAGTTGATTCTGAGAAAATATTTCCAAAAAATAAAAAATATAAAGCAATTGAGATAATTACGGGGATAGTGACTAGTGGCAAAATAAAGCGATGAGTTTCTCATCGAAACAGACAAGCGACCTCTGACTTTAGTAAAGGCCGTAAAGATTCTGAACTGTCGCGACCTAGAGAACCAGAAAAATAACTTCATTCCTTGGGTATGTAACTATATGAGAAACAGTATAATATTAAGAGTAATGATGATTTGAAAATATTATTACATTTTTTTATTTTTAATGTTAGTTCTAGCTTAGAGTGTTAAAGTCCTGTTACAATAAGGCAGATAGCTCTTGTGGAGGCAATAGTTGATGTGCCGCTGCATTTAAATTATTCGTTCGACGCTTTAAAAAAATCAAATTTATTAATGTGTTAGAAGGCTATGGATATTTAAACGAATTTTAGGTTTTTTTCTCCTGATACACTTTAATGACTACTTTTTCATAAAATAAAAATCACTTTCGGTTTCTTCATTCAGTTTGAAAGAGAAAAATAATTTCAGTTTCTCGGTACAATTCAGGATTTTCTAGTAAAAGAGTTTTTTTAGAGTAAGAAAAAAAGTTTTTTCTAGTAAAAGAAAGTAAAAAAGAAGTTTTTTTTTAATTTTCTATTATTCTATTTATTTAGTTTCTTGATAATCATGTGATAAAATAGTATAAAATTACAACAACAATCTATGATGTTCCTCGTCAACAAAAACTATAAGAATTGCTTGAAACACAGTACAAGCATTTGATAATATTTAATTTTCTTTTATACCTAAATCAATAATTTTGAATATACCAACAGTTACACTTTGCCAACGCAATTGCACCTGTAAAAAATGGCTAATATTAATTCAATGTTAACCGAATTCGACTAGGGGCATGGGCACCCAGATCATTGGATCTTAATCCACTCGATTTGTACGTTTGGGGACATGTAAATGACAAAAAGACAAATTTTGTTCTGCTCCCGTTTTGACCAGAGGTGTTTTAGCTTTACGAAATCCAGAAGCCTGCAGTCATATGCGGAAAAATCAAGTATCAGCTGCAATAAATTCAGACGATCTCGAAAATGTATTAAAGTGGTTGGACTACATTTCAATTTCAACAAACAATTTTTCTAATTTTTGATGGTGTGATTCACCACCGATTGAATTTCCGATTTTATTATGTTGCAGTATCGCTAAATGATTATCAGCTATATTAAATTTTTTACTTGAAAAAGAGTTGTCTAACGAAATTTTAATATTTTTTGCTTTAAAATTAAATGAAGAATCTAAATGAGATTTTTATTTTATCAAAAAGCAATGTCATATTTCTTTAAAAGCATACATTAGCGTTTTAGTACGGACGGCACTCAGATAACTAAAAATTGGATTTCTAGTGCAAAATTGTCCACAGCCGTTTGGGAAAAATTAATAAATTTGGTTTTTTAAAGCCAGACTTGAACATCCTATATTTCCTTAAGAAATCGTTCCTTGATAGCTTATCATGTAAACTCATTTTGTTTCTCGATTTTCCATATTTCCCTAAATTTCCGGTCCGGAAACTGGACCACTCTGTATATTTCTTACTAGAACCTGCACTTCCTTATAATAAAATGATAATCCTAGTAATTTATAATAATCGCATGTCGGATTTGTCTGAAGGATTATTGGGCTCATTTTGTTACTCTGATGACTGTAGCGCTAATCGAACCGCAACTTTAAGAACATGAATTATGGGAATATTGGTGGTAAAACGCCATAATGTTATTTATTATCTACCCTTTCATGCCCAATGTTATTGGTGTGGAAATGGGAGCACCTAAGCTAATTGTTCTCGTTCCAAAAATGCCATTACGTGAGTTCGGTTCTAAATACATTTTTAATATGTCTGAATCAATCTCTAATAAGGGTAATTTTTAAAAGCACTTTAAACTTTTACTCTATTTTAAAATAGCCAACTTTAATATGTGAGTTTTCCAGGTGAAAATGCGATTACTCGCTATCTCCTGAGATATTAAATAAAGAATGAGAATTTTCAATGTCGAAAATCTACTTAAATGACTGGCAAATCAAAGGCTCAACTTTGCTACTAGTTGCAGCCAAATTAACCCTTCTTTCTATAAAACTTGAAATAATTATTGCTATTGTCTCCATTTAGGTTAATAACACAATATTTTTAAATAAGGTAAACGATCTTTACGATTTATCTGTAGCAACTTCCTGAACTTGCGGCTTTACCATAATCCTGCCTACGAGAAAACAGTCCTGCTGGTTAATATTTTATTTTATTTGGATACATTTGGCATAAACTGTGCACATTAAGATGATCAAAAGTAAATTCCTCATACCTATGACATAAGTATGGTTTCTACCAATTTAATTTTTTTCTTATGACTACTGTAATTAGTGAGACCATTATTCGACTACGTGATAAATTAAAATTGATTTTGCCTACGTCGTTACTATCAAGCAAAACACAAAAAATTAACTCTAATGACACGTTTTCTGCCTGCACCTTTTCCGCAATATATTTGTTCTTCTTTCTTGTTGCATGTATAGAGAAGCATGACTTCAGAACTGTTTACAGTATGCGACAGATTGCCAATTATGCATTATGAATTTTGTGATAGCTTTTATGTGCATCGGTCTAATTTCAAGCAGTAGAAATATAAAAAAAAAACATCAGATACATGTCAGGCGAAAATGTTTTCCTCAAAATCCCATTGATGTACGTAGTTATTGATGTTCGTGATACGCATTTTTTATTTTATCGTAGGCTGCACTCTATGTGGCACAGTTTTGAAACAAGCATCGAATACATCAATTACCTGAGAATCATACATTTTCAGAAAACTACGAAATTATTCGAAAATGCTTCCTGAAATAAGTGAATTATACTTGAAATTGTGGCAACTCAAAAAACATTTATTCTGATGATACCCCAGCTAATTTCTAATGATTTCCTTAAAACTTTCGAATGGAAAAAATGGTGCCACAGAAAGAAAACAAAATTTCTTCTGAAAAAGAAAACAAATTTGAGGTTTCCAGGCATCAAAGACCTAAAAGAATCTAATGTTTCTCAATGAATTTTAAATCGGATGATGACGCTGTTGTCTCGCCAAAACGTTATGAAATAAACGATATAAAAATTTGTATTTCAGACTTTGACTGAAGCCCAGGAAGGAAAAGAACATAATAACAATTAAATGCAGTCAGGAAAATAAATCAAAACCTGTATAAAATTACTGCTTTTTACAGCTTCCTCAAACGCATATGTTTGGAGTAATCCGACGGTGTCCTGGATGAATACTTAACAAAAATAAACCGCCATGGTTGGTTTCTTTGATTGTTTTCACGTGGATTTGACGCCTGAAAGCCCTTGTGGCTTACAGTGTCCTAAACTAAGAGTTTCCATTAGTCGACTGTTTCAGTTATTTGTATTTTCAACTTTAAGGTTTTCCAACTTTAAGCCTTTTTGCGCAATTGACACTTTTATTAAATCGTACATCCCAATCAACTGTCCATTGGTCAGAGAATTAATCAAAATGTTAAATAGTTAATTACGACAACCAAAAAGCTTTAACTTTAAGATAATAATGTATGAAATAAAAATGTTCCTTCATTTTTAATGAAATTATACCAACATTGCTTCATTCCTACTGCTGAAATACTCGTAGTTGAAGCAAAATACGCGAAATTACTTTGTGAATTACAACAAAAAATTTGTTAGGTTCAACTAAACGAGGTTTTATCATTATTTACTTAGTATAGTGAAGAGCAATCTGATGACAAAATACTTCAATGGTTRTTTGCACAAAAATGTGTGGGTATAGCTTCTTCGATTGAAGAAGCCAATATAAACTTCGAACATTATAACCTTTGGTCCTACTTGCCTCAAAATTTAAACGGAATAGGAATATAACAGCGCACGTTTCTATTAGATCTATAAACCCCTTTTGTACCAGAATACAGGGATTACTTAAAAATATATTAGTTGCATACTAGAACTTCAAATATCAGAGCGTGTTTGAATAAGTCAGAAATGGTTGTAAATAATATAACAAATGCGCTAATGTTTCTGCTATTGTCGCATCTGATTAGAATGTTCCTTGTCCTTTTACAGCGTTTGCCGGCTGTGCTGAGCAGGATAGGCATAATACTAGCCAGCCCATTGGTAAGCCTAGCCTTATTTATACCTAAACTAAGCCTGAAAAAAGAGCCTATGCATTTTAACGCGTATTTGCGAGCATTTTGCCTTTTGCCAATAATTGCTTTGACCTCAATGAAGAGCTAACATGAAGCTTTGCTTACTATACCAACTAATAGCAATGCCTTTAATTCATAGACGCAATTATGAAATAGTACCTACAATTACTCTAACTAATGTATCGTATCGAGATCAAAATAGATTTGTTAAAGAAACTCTTACTTACAACGTATGGGTACTTACCGAAGGAGAAGCAGTTAAGGTAACACTAAAAGGTTTGGTTGGTTTAGTTCTCTGTACAATATTTTGGATAGTGAGCCACAAAAAATAGAGCAATATTTTAACAATCGTTCATTCTTGCGGTTATAGATGTATGGTTAGTTTCCGAAATTTTATATTTTGGAGACATTATTGAATAGAAAACAAAACTAAAATATTTAGCAGCAGTTTTAGGTGTGCATACTGTGTAAATAACTACCGACGTAAGAAAACGGTTGATAGATTTACACAATTGTTAGTCCAAATGATCAGTCAAGTATTCTTAGTCCATTAACACTTTCTTCAAAGTGTATTTTTTTGTGCCCTCATAAATATGATTATTTTACACACATCTTGTATACCATTGGTGATCTTTCAGATTGCCTAATATCATTTTTTTATTGAAATTATTTTTATCCTTATGAATCTTTTTATTTTCTTTGATAATCTAATTCAATTAAACTTATTATGTTAAGGGTGGGCTGCAGAAATTTTAATTCTTCAAACATTTGGATTCAAAAAGGTTTGGGGTAATCTATAAATTATATTTTATTGAAAACTTTTTATAAATGTATGTGCTGATTACTTTATTGAAAACTAAAAAACGATCAAATAAGATGTTGACAAGATATTTTCAAAAACGTGTGGTTTTTCTTTTATGAAATTACCCTGCATGTAATTTAAAAATAAAAAAACAGGAAGTCGTTTCACTTAAATAGATTGTAAATTTGTTAAAACCTAACAAAGCCAAAAAAGGTATAGTAAATAAAATGAATTAAACATTTTCTTTGGAATTAACATTTTATTGTTTCGGATCCAAAATTACAAAACTGGCAAGGCTGGAGATTGAAAATAACCAATAATTTGAATTATCTACAGTATTATGGCCTTCAATATTTTTGAAATTACATTTCCATTAAGCCATGGAATCAACCATGGAAGGTTTCACTTGGATCAAAATGTACGGTACTTCTCAAGAGAGCGTATGAACGAATAAAATTGTAAACTTTAAATATAACGACATAATTCCGCAAAAAAATGAAACATGGTACACTTAATATGAAAATAAAGCGCACTGAAAGCAATGCAATTGAGGCAGAATGCGGCATTGAGAATTTAATGATCAATTTTTACACAATTCCAGATGGATAAATCTGCAAAACACACCGTTTCGGTGCCTTATTATAAGAGAAATAACTGATATAAGTGTAAAATATTCATATAAAATTGTATTCTAATTTCATGTTCGTTAATATCTACTTTCGCATGTCAGCCACAAGTTTTAAATGCAAATGATACAGGAATAATTTTAGTGTTCTTACTCCCATTCTTCCGTAATTGTATAAATCAAACCTTTCAGACAATTATTTTAATGGCTCGCTGGATTACTATCGTACCGCTGTTTACCATTACTACACCGAAACTATGCATTTATGTATTTTAGTACAATTATCAATATATGTAGGATTTTCAAACAGTTAAAATTAGAATATCTAGTTATCGTTGTGGGAAGTATCAATTAATGTTCACATGTTAGTCAGCAGACTCCAGCGAAAGGTGTTTTCTTGGTTCAAGTAAAATATTTTATAAGTGGGTTGCCGTATAACAAAACGAACAGAAAATAGTAATGATATCAAAATAATCAAAAATTAAAAATCGAACTAACTGATATAAAATAATTTATTTCGAAACTTAATTTAAGAAACAGAAATGAAAATATGAACTTTTGTAAATCTGAGGGCTTACATTGAGTTGACAAAATCATAAGAGCTCGACAAAGTTAGGGAATATTTGTAATATAAAAAATCTTCTTCTGCTGCTTCTTCTTAGTGAACAATTTCCAGTTGCTTTTTAAGAAAATCGCTCCGCAGGATCCAAGTTGTTGCAGTTTTATCCAATATTCAGATAAAATCGATAAAAAATTGTACATTTTCAACTAATTACTCTCTCGTGTATAACTTTGTTTTCGAGAACAACGTACAATGTCCATATGATTGGTTAATTGATTTTCCATTTATGCACACATTTGAACGACAATATTATTATGGAACATTTCAAAATGTTGCAAGTTGTTGGACCATAATTTTTTAAGAAAACCGAAGTAAAACAGTAAAAGAATAACAAATATGCATTCTAGTTATTTATGTCAATTGTAGTAAAAAGCAGCGAAAAACACAAACTGGTGTTAAAAAATTACATTAAATATTGTCTTAAAAATACATTCACAATTATTCACAGCTTCGGACACACGACGACATTAACCCGAGTAAACTGTAATTTCAATTCCATCAATTAAATTGGTAAACTCTAACGGACTTGTTTTAATAAATCGTTTATTCAAATCGGCTAAAACTTTCCTTAACTTTCGATTTAAAAAATACAGGGTGATTCAGAATTGGCGTCATTCCTCTGGAGGTGTTGTCTGGCGCTGTTATAGGAGTACAGAAAAAATAGTAAAATAAATTAATTGTTATTAAAGCTGAGAAATTTGCAAAAAACTATATTAGAAATACGGCAGCAATGTTTTTCAAGGTTATCTGCCTAATTAACATTGCGTAAATACCTGTGGCTTCGGTAACCATGGAATTATACAGACTGACTATAAGATAGACAAGGATAAACGGTAAATTCGACAAGATTTGTTGACGAAATGTCAACGTGTTCTCATAACCTCGAATACTGGTGTTTAAAAATAAACCATACAACACCAAACATTTGAATGGTTAACTCCAAACAAGCTCGTGCCTGTGTAATCTCCTTATTATCTACTCTTATCAAGCAGCTTCTCGTATTCAGTTAATTAACTCCTGCTCCATTTGTATCTCCTTGTGCTCTGTGTATCGTACAAACGTAGTAGGAACGTAGCCCTTCCTCGGTATTTATTTGGTGCTTGGGAAAGTGTCAGTTATGGTGCTCTGAGTGCCCCTGGAAGGCCCTGATTCGGTTATGTCCAATACGTGTTCCTCTGTGCCTGGAACCCGAACATCTATCGTCCACTATCTTCC